ACTTTTTCAACTTTCAGATAAAACATATGCAACATACATCTGAAACGCATAAAACATACGGTTGTAATATATGTTCATCTACTTGCTGCCGCCCAATGAAAGTTGACGCGGGCGCGAGGCACGAGATGCGGATGGCGCGCGGCGCGAGGCATGGACGGGGTGCGCGGCACGAGCCAGATCCAGCGTAAGGGCAGTGGCGAGTAGCGCGAAGCGAGTCTGACGCGAGACGCAGGGGCGCACGTCATGAGGCGGTCCCGTCTCGGTGGAAACGTCCAGATTTTATTTAATAATGGGCGGTCGGACCTGGTCTGCATGCCCAGCGAAAGCGCGCGTTTGGCCAAACGGACGCTCGGTAGGTGTGGAATGGTGATTGTTTTGTTGAGTCTCGTGGATAAATTATTGTTGGCACTCGAATTTGGCTCGGTCTTATTATCTTACGTAAATGTCAGATATAGCTAAATTAACATGTTAATTAATTTATTTGGTCATCGGCTGCTATATATATTGTTAATATTTCTCGGCCGATTATTTGGGCGTGGAATATTTGAGTGAATCGTCGAAAACGTATTGCAACAACATATGGATGTCGACTTGCTCAAAATATCATGTGAATGACGGGAAAGATCATTGGCTAGGTGGGGCTCAAGGAGCCCCTACTAAAAATTTATTAAGAGCAACCAAAAAGGTTACTTAGCGTTTAAATAGGATTACAAGAAGGACACTGAGAGGAAGGAGGGAGCTAGGGAGCAAGAAACAAAGAAAGAAACAAAGAAAATAAAAAAAGTTACATAAGGTGCTCTAGCCATGACTCAATTGCAGGAAAATACTTCTTTTTGGCCCTCCATAAGAGCAGACCAAAAGTGTGTCTGAAGATGTCTAAACAACAATGACTGCTTGCTGGGATACCTCTAAAAATGACATCATTTCTAATTGTCCAAATACTCCAACTCAAGATGATAATAATCTCCCTGAAGAAATTGACATTGAGCTGCATTCTGAAACTCTCAAACATTTGGAAAGGATCGAGGGAGGTGTCAATTGTAAGATCCATATAAGATTCCAGCAGGCTTTATCCATCTCACATTCCAGGAAAAGGTGCTCAACCGATTCTTCAGAGTTCAGAGTTCATTGGCTAGGTGTTGGATTTGGAAATAAATTTACGTTTCCAGGCTCCAGGTGTGGATGAAGGTGTTCCGTACACATAATGAAAAGGAAGCAAGCGGGCAACGTAGAACCTAGCGTCATGTATACAGAGATGGCAGTGCTTGCATGGATTAGAATCCATCGGCGATACACGATACGATGAGGAAGGAAGGGGGAAGGAAGCAAAATACAAATTGGACTTACGGCTTTGAATTAGCACGTACGACTGGACCGAAGGACTTAGAGGCTGGAGTATAATCGGAAACTATCTCATTCGCCGCTTATGGAAACAGTCTCGTTTGCCGATTGTATCCTATATCTACGAAAGACCAGCCGCCCTGTATAATAAGAGATATTTACTTGTATGGCCTTGAAAAAAATGCATCTTCTTTACATGGCCCTTTTTTCTTTGAGCTTACATTTATAGCTCCAAAACGAAATTTTCTTCCTTCTACGGTCTTTTGTCCGTTTTTTACACTTGACTGTGTTAAGTCAAGGCTAAAATGACCATTTTACCCCTCGTAAAGAAAAATAAAATGCAGAGTTTTATTTGTTTGCTGTATATTTTAAAACTTATTTGCATAATATTACTCCAAACTTACATGTACATTTTTAAACTTATTTGCGCAATATTACTCCAAACTTACCTGTATATTTTAAAACTTATTTGTGTAATATTACTCCAAATGTACAATAGACAAATAAAACTATGCATTTAATTTTTTTTTGCCAAAGGTAAAATGGTCATTTTACCCTTGAGTTAACACCGTCAAGTGCTAAAAACGGACAAAAGGCCAAGAAGGAAATTTTTTTCGTTTTGAGGCCATACAGATAAGTTAAAAAAAAGAGGCCATGTAACGAAGATGCATTCTTTCCGGGGCCATACAAGTAAATGGCTCATATAATAAAGGGTGACGGTTGATTGTGGTCTCCAATATTTCCTCGTCAAAAAACACATCTACTATTTTTTATCTTCTACCCTTTCCAACTTCCTGTTGTCCGGTGTATCTCTCGACGAGGTTCGTTGGCGTTCTAGGTAACCTTGCCGATCCTAGAACACCCCCACCGTGTGTCTCCCCGACAAGTCTTCCCGAAAGACGTTCTCGTGGGTTTATCGGGCGAAGAACGAGCGTCTAATCAGCCTCGTCGACCTGCTGGTGAGCCTTGCCATTGGGACCTACCTCCGCTGCGTGCTACGCCATGCATGTGCGGTCTCTAGGCGATCTAGACCCTACCGGTGTGTGACCCAAATTGGCGTCAACAATTATATAGTAGTGTGTTGTTTATGGTGGCATCTAGACACTTTAGAGATTAGGCAAGATGGGACTGTAAATGATTTCAATCTGTAATATCTAGAGGTAACCCAATAATATACTCTAACCGCACCGGTAGTCATAGCGGGACTGGCGTAGAGAGATGAGACTAGAGAAGAAACTGAAGATTGTAAAACGGCGAGTTGACATATGTCGCAGTCATAACGGTCGATGTGCCATGGATGCATGCTATGACTGAAATGGAAGCTAATGATGCTGCTCCAGCAAAGGCGGTGGCCCTTGTGCCAATGTCAAGATGATCGAGCACGAGGGTGGGTAGTCGTGGTTGACTATGTCGTGTGTAGGATAGCCATGGTCGATGGAGTTATTGAGGTTGCTGAAATCGATGCAGTACACATGAAGCCACGGATGCACGAGAAGGAGCCATGAGTATGGTGGTGGCAAAAAGGTGAAGTCACCATATACGAAAATGATGATGCGTTGAGTATGTCGGCAAAAGGGAAGGTCAATGTTGAGGACGATGTTGTCAAATGTCAACCCACCATGAACGAAGCGTACGCCAGGTTTGCTTGGACCGAAAACACATTGAGGATGAAGGCACCCACTAGTATTGCCAATACTAGAGGTACTAGGGAGAGAACTCCGACCGTGAGTCAAAGTCTAAGGAACCAAAAAAGAGGACATCGACAATTGTGACACGCAAAACGATGGGGTAGAAAGATGCCAATCCAGCCAGTGGTTGACGAAGTAGGTTGGTGGAGTGAACTTCTATCCCCACAAGGGAGTTTCTATGATCAACCATGGGCCATGGTGGTTGTTTTTACAATATGGAACATATGATAGTGGAACTTTGTTAACAAGTCTTCGATAATAAAGCACGGAATCCACATGAGCTGCATCAGTCAATTCACGAAGATATGATGCTGTTCTAGCAAGAGCAAGAGTGCCAGTAGAAAAAAGAAAGAAAATCCATTGTTATTTTTAGTTCCTATTCTTTTTGTTTCCTTTTCAGCGCACTATGTCAAATTTGCATATTAGAGATGCGAGAAAAACATGTCACTTACATTACGTCTCTGATGATATTATTAACATGTAGAAACGTGTCACTGATGACTCTTCATCAGTGATGCGCTTAGCCAAAAATTGTCATTGATGACCTTTAATCAATGACACATTTTGGCTAAATGTGTCACTAAGGATATGCGTTTTAGGCATCACTGGTGATCATTTACAAAAAAAAAACATGATCTAGGGCCTTTATATACTTCTGCTCTCTAAAGCTGATCTTAAGCAACTACTAAAATGTGCTTTGATCAACCACTACTGAAGTGAGATCCATTGCTATCTCTAGACTAGTTCATAGTCACAAAATAATTAGACATATGGATTTATATGACCATATCATAGTAAAAATGCAACCAAATTTTATATGACCATGTCATGGTAAAATTTGAGGATGTCCAAGTCATGACAATTTAAGGTTAGGGTCAAATTCAGAGGTCAGCATCACTATTCACAGCGCCGAGCTCGGCGCCATGATCTGTAGCGTCGAGTTCAGCGCCGTGAATCGTGGTGCCGACCTCTGGCCACGTCAGCGCCACGTCACCAGCCACGCCACTCCGGACCTCCTACCTCGGCACGATGACCTATGGCACCGAGATGTGTTACCTCAGCATCGTAGGTCATAGCGCCAAGCTTAGGGTCTAAAGATAGGTTTTTGACGGCAGGGGTATAAATGTGAAATTTTGACAAAAAAATGCTAAATTGAAAAAAAAATCGGGCAGGGACATGTCCTGCCGGTCATCATGGCACTTCTGAACAAAGATATTGCGATGTGCTGCTCGATTTCTGCCACGTGACGACCGCGACGGCACCGTGGCCGTAGGGTATCCAATGCGCCACCCTCCTTGGGGCCACGCACTCGCGAGCAAAGCGCCGGCAAATTATATTTCGCACTTATTCTCAGGTGGGCTGTATATTTTTAAAGTGGGCTAAAATTGTTGGATGCATAGAAGTTCCATCAGCCCACAGTAAACAATCTAGAAGTACACATAAGTTTTGAAGTCTGCATGGAAAACCCAAGTTCCCATGATAGGATGATGTCATACTTTTCTGTAAACTAAAAAATTGTTAGCTATTAAACTAAATATCCAAATTGAATTCTGATTACACCGTCGCGTTTCTTACGTTAATCCTTCAAAACAAGATCTCACATGGATTTATTTAGATAAAATTTGCTAATGAACATATATCTAATGATGATAGAACATTTTTTTTATTGAGCAGAGGTGATATTCTAGGTCTAGGAAACAATGTTTGGTCTTCATCATAAGAAAAATATTCCCGGTTTCAGGGGAATAGAATTCCAGATCTAGAGAACATATTAATGGGTCTGTTCGCTGGTTGGTGCTGGTGCTGGTTTTTTGTGAGAGGAAAACACGGTTGGCTGGCTGGTTTTGGCTGGCTGAAACCAACAAGCGAACAGGCCGATTATATGTTAATGTTACTGGTATGACCTCTTAATAGGTAACGGGAGTACCGTAGCTCCAAGAAACTTACATATTTCGGCCAAAAGAATGCAATTTACAAACTAGTTGATAGTGGGCTTCCTGCAACAGCTAGGAGTATCTTCGGGAGTGGAGGCACATCGACCTCACGTAGACCCTCTAGAATCTGAACAATCTCACCCATTGCCGGTCGATCGGACTCCTTGTCTTGGATGCACCAACAAGCAGCTCTGCAAGCTCGTTCAACCTCTTCCATATTGGCATCCCCAGACAACTTAGGATCCACCAAACTCTGCACATCACCCTTGAGAAGATTATTGGCAACTTGCAGAGGAAAATAAGCATCATTGTGACCACAACTAGTGCACTGTTCATATGTGTTTCTCCTTCCTGATATAATTTCCAATAACACCATCCCGTAGCTATAAACATCAACTTTTGTTGTAATAGCCACTCCACTGAGCCATTCAGGTGCGAGATAACCTACAGTTCCTCTCATCGTCGTCAAGACTCCGCTAAAATTTCTTTGTACCAATTTTGCCATCCCAAAGTCTGCAATTTTAGGAGCGAATGATGCATCAAGAAGTATGTTTTCTGGCTTAATATCACAATGTATGATATATTCCTGACAGCTCTCATGCAAATATGCAAGTCCTCTTGCAACTCCAAGGGCAATTTGATACCTGTTTTTCCAGTTCAGAAATGTGACACTGTTCTGATATAGATAAACATCAAGAGAACCGTATGGCAAGTACTCATAGACTAGCAATCTGTTATTTCCCTCACAACAGAAACCAATCAGTTTAACTAAATTAACATGTTGGATCATACCTACTGAGCTCACTTCGGCTCTGAATTGCTTCTCCCCTTGACGAAGACCGTCCAGCATTTTCACTGCTATGGTGGATGCGTCAGGTAAAACCCCCTTATAAACAGAGCCGAAACCACCGCTCCCTAGCTTGGATGAGAAACCTTTTGTTGCCTGCTGCAAGTCAGTGTATCTAAATGCAACAATTCCGTTGCCACCCTGAACACTGTTTGACACGCGACAATATCGCATCGTTCGGTTCCTCCAAATCATCAGCAGCAGCAGGACAAGTCCAAACAAAGTCAGCATAGTTGCACTGGTAACGACCCAAACCAGCATTTTCCTTCTGTGGTTTTCCGAAATCCTCAGCTCCTTTGCAGCAAGGCGAACTTTCAGGAATTCCACCTTCGTACTAGTGAGGTCACTGTGCTGTTGTTGTCTGACATTAAACAGTTCATCATGCCAGACATAGCAGCCATAGTCATCACTGAAGGAATATGCAGTGCATGAGCAATTACTTAAGCAAACCTTTGCACACTCACCTTCATTAGTAATAACCGTTAAGCTCTGAGCAATCGGGGGCAGTCCGGAGCATGGAATGGAGTAGAATCCATCTGTTGTTTTGTTGTCACTGCAATCTAATGGAGAATTTCTGATGCACCCTCCTCTTCGATCCTCTAGCTCCCAATCCTCAAGCGACTTGATGGAGAAGCCCTTCATACAGTCGCAAGAGGGGCTTACATTGTCGTTGCAAACTGAATAAGATCCACAGACTGCATAGACATCACACTGAGATTTCGGCTGGGCAGCTGAAATTACCCAATCCTGCAACTGCTCGTACCATATGAACGCCTTGAGTTGACCAGAAACCTCCAACGAAAGGCGCATGACCATGTTGTCATCCCGCAAGGCGGTCACAAAATACACCTCTCTGCTGTTGTCGACAAATTCAGAATAGGCACCCATATCTGGTATAGAGTCGAAGAATCGGCCGTTCCATTCGCCGCTTGACCAATACGTCACTCCCGAATTCAACTCCACGAGGATGAACTGAGAAGCACCAGTCGGGTCCAGCTCCAACGCGTAGGCTCCAGGAGCCTGCTCCACCGAGTTCTTCCTGGAGACAAGACGGCGGTTGAGGCCGGTGACCTTGTCCCGGCCGAGCTTTGCGCCAGGGAGGAGGCTATTCGTCGGGTGGTCGAAGCTTTGCCACAGGATCACATCCGATGGGCTCGAAGATCTCTGCACGATGAGGTTCCCACCGTCTGACAGCGTCGCGATCGTGTCTTTGGTTGTGGTGTTGGCTTGGGTGGACGTGGACCAGATGATGGATTTGGTGGTGCGGTTCAGGACGGCAAGGTTGCCGTCCGGGGAGATTGTGAGCACCGCCATGGTGAGATCAGCAATCGGATCGTCCTCGTTTGCGACCCACACGGGAGTTATGGTGGGGACTCTGTTGATCCATATGCCCAGGTAGTACCAGCAGTTGGAGTTACCGCTGGTTTGGGTTTCGAAGAAGCCAAGCGCATACTTGCTGGTGCTGCAGACGAGCTTGTCGCTGCCGGCAAGCACTTGGCCAGGCAAGATGGTGTTGGTGTCCCTTCCAGAAGCAGAAGCAGAGGAGTGCACTTCCAGGATGTTGAGCGGGAAGAAGATGAGCACAAAGGGTAGTAGGGCGAGCGGCATAGCGGAATTGGTGGTAAAATTCGGGCGTTGTTAGCGCAGGGAGTATACTTGCAAAATTTGGCGTTGGATGGTTAGGGAGCGCCAGTCGATGCACGGCGCAGCTACAGAATCATTGAGTTGGACTGAGTGATGAGAGCGCCGAATGCCGGCGATCATCAGCACACCTGGCTGGAAGATTTCCCCAAACGTGCTTGGCTTTGGTCTGCAATGGCGGCTGCGGGCCAAAGGGCTTTCGTCAAGATGTCTGAAGATTCCACGGTCCCGATACACAACATGTGTTTTATGAACACATGAATTTTTTTCACCATTGAAGTAAGATTCAACAACCTACATCCTCCTTCTACCTCCAGTACCTCTAGACAATCACAAGTCACAAGATCACAGATCCACAGATCATAAGAAATAATTTTTTTTCTACGTAAGGACAAATCAGACGTCCGACGGGCGGTCCTCCGGCCGCACGCGTATACGCGTATAGGACGGGCGGTCCTTCGGCTGGTTGGCGCGCTGGTTCTCTGTGGGAGCCGAGTTGGTCACGCCGCTGCGGGAGTGCACAGAGAAGTCGTCCTCGAGGCTGAGAAGACAGTTGAAAAGAGAGAGGGAGAGAGAGAGAAAATCCATGTGTTTTTTTTTTCTAAAACACATGTGTGTTGTATAGCATTTCTGTACAGAAAATAGTGAAGCTGAAAGTCTGACAATCACCAATAGAAGGATCAACTATGCTGACTAAACATAAATTCAATTGCAAGTTTTGGTTTTTAATAACAGTTTGCAGTCTTTAGTTTCTTCTAGTAATCCTCACTTTTTTGAATCCATGTAGGACTAGGTAACAGAATAGAAGAGATGCGTGCGACAAGAGAGTATATTGATAATAAAGAGGCCACAGTGTTTTGCTCAGTAAGTTTCTGATTTTTTTCAGCATCTTTATGTTCCCCTTTCTTTTGGTTGCCACAGCCTGCTTAATTTGCATTTTATCATCAGTCCATGACCTGCAAGATATATGTTTCGATTTTTTTTCTTTTGAGGATGCTTGTAACAACCCTAGAATCCTAGAACCCAAAAATAACTTTCAAAAACTTTTTCTAAAGGAGCATTGTTTGGTGACTGAGCATGCTGGGAAGCCGCCCTACTTGCACAAGTAGACCCTAAAATAGGATTGAGTGAACATTTGCATTAAATCAACCTTGAGTTGCTTCTTTTGATCTTATGATTTGTTAATTAAAACTTGATCACCTTTTAAATAAATGATTGTTGTGTGTGTGGGCCCAAGCCATGGCTTGACCTAAAACCCTAGTGTTGACCTAGGTGGACCCCACTAAGGTGGTATACATGTACATGCAAGGTGCTATGAAATGGAGAAATAGAGTTAGAAATAGAAATAGAAAAGGGCTTAGAAAATAGAAAGAAAAAAAAGAAAACCCAAACCAGCCCGAGACGGCCAGCTAGCATGGCCTAGCCTCGCACCCACGCCCCCTCAGCCGCACCCGCACCCAATGGAGGCGTAACCCACCAAAGCTGCCACCCCGAGCTGTTGGAGCCCGCGCCAAAGAGCCGCCCGCGCCGTTACCCTCTCTCATGACGTCGCTGACAGGCAGGCCCCACAAACCCCACTTGTCATCCCTTCCCTCTCCCCCCTTCCTCTGCTTTCACCGAGCTTGCACGTCGGCATGAATCCAAGGGAGCCAGAGCCGATCACGGTTGTCCCTGTTCACCGCCGTCTTTGACGTCCTACGGATGGTTGCCACGTCCGCGATCTGCGGCACCCTATCCTGCTATAGCTAGTGCCCACCGAGGTCGTGACGTCACCGTGCGGCCCCGCTGCCCTGACACCCCGTACGACGCCCCGTTCTTGCCCCTGACCAGCCGTCGGCTCAAAACAGAGAGTGCTAAGGAACCCCCACACCCTGCGCCACGCCTAAACCCTAGCCCAAGGGCTTTGATCACCCTACACGTGTCCCTCGCCCTCTTCTCACCGTCCGTCGCTCGCCATGGCCGAGCTTGGCCTATAAAAAACCGACCCTGGTGCCCTAGTGCCTCTTGTCCACCCCGCCGCCACCCGGTGGCACCACGCAACCCCAGCCAAGCCAGAGAGGAGAGCCGAGGAGCCATCATAGGAGCCACCACCGGCATCCTAGCAGCCCCAATGACGAAGCCCAGCAAGGCCAAACCACGGATACCAAAGTGCATTTGTCGATGTTTCACCACCAATAGCCTGCCACGGGGATACCCGGGGCAGTTTGTTCAGGCTTCAGCGTATGCAGAACTCGGCGGTAAGTCCAAGAGACAGTCGATTTATCCTGGTTTGGGCCCTCGATCGTGATCGAGTAATAGCCCTACGTCCAGTCGGCGTTAGCCTTTGCGTTGGATTGATTGTCAAGTGTTGTGTCGTCCCCTCTCTAGGAACCCTGCCCTCCTTTATATATTCAGAAGGCCAGAATCCTAGTCGGTTTACAATGAGAGTTCCTAGTAGGATTATAGAATAATACTACTACTAAGATTACATGGGAAGAATCCTAGTTAGACTAGATCTTCTCCCTTCCTTGTGGGGTATCCCGTGGGTCCCGCACCGACAAGCCCCCGAGCACTTCATGGTTGAGCTCTGGAAGCCTCGTCTTGTTCCTTCAGGTCTTGCCGAGTAGGAACAAGCGTCGTCCGAGTGTTTTCTTGAGCGAAACCGTGTAGCGCTTCGTGAGATCTTCGCGTGGTGTGTACCTTTTTGAAGAAAAAAGTACTCCCATTTGGGTGTAGCCCCTGAGCCTCTTGCTATTTGGCACAAGGAGCTGGAGGGTCTTCTCTTGATATTGCTCTGATTCTTCGTCGAAGGGCTCCTGAGCATATACCCGGGTTCTTTATCAAAAAGAGCTCGGATATAGCTAGGACCGGGTTCTTTTTGTCGTGAGGCCTTGAAGTCGTCTGTCTTGAAGAAGTATTTTTGGTGACGTGAGCTTTTTTGAAGAAAAAAGTGCACTCACTGAGTGTAGCCCCCGAGCCTCTTGCTATTTGGAACAAAAAGTTGGAGGGTCTTGAATCTTATGTTGTTTGAAAACTGCTGTCTTGAAGAAGTCTTCTGAGTGATGTGCGCTTTTTCGAAGAAAAAAGTGCACTCACTGAGTGTAGCCCCCGAGCCTCTTGCTATTTGGAACAAAAAGTTAGAGGGTCTTGATTCTGAGTTGTTCAAGGAACTGAAAACCTCTTTTGTTGCAGCCCCCGAGCATATACCTAGGTTCTTTTATTCGAAAAGAACTCGGATACAGGATCTTGGCATGTTCTCCGGTAGTATGCTTTTGTCAGATGTAGTTGTATGGTGGTGGTTGAGAGTAAATGTTGTTTGTTCACGAGTTGTACAGTGTTGGTATATTCTTCTGAATATGCTCGTTCTTGAGTACTGCTCCTTCACGCCTTAGTCCTCTTTCATTGAATTATGTCTTTTCACTGTGTCCTTTGTTAGGTTTATTCCGTTGGTGCTCCCGGTCCATGTGCACCACTTTTTTGGTCTATAAATACCCTCCTGGTGTGCTGTTTTGATTCATCGAGCATTTTGTTGCATGGTCTGAAATCTCCGTAATCATGAATATGATAGTTTGTGAAGTAGAGCAGCCCCCGGGCGTATTTTGTAGTTCTTGTGTATCTTGTCGTAGCTAGAGGGAATCTTGTGATAGGGATTAGAGGTAGACTAATCTCGTAGCAGCATTGTACCAGGGAGAACGTGGTGGTAGTTGGAGGGAGTCTTGTGATGTGGGATACGTTCCTTCATCCAGCAGTTCTGGGTTGATCCTCGTCGCCTGCCCTGAGACTGTCCGGTGCAGATCAACACCATATCCGGTATCACATCGGACTTGGGTAGACAGATGCCTGAAGGCTTCTCTTGGTCCATGTTGTCCCGCTGTGTTGCTGATCTCCACCTTGGATGTGCTACTTTCTTCCTTTGAAGAAAACAGTGTAGCGAGTGCGGTTTGTTCTACCGAGTAGCAATTTGGGACACGTAGTCGTTCCAGAGCCTAGTTGTGTCCGGGTTCCTTTTTGCTACCTTGCCTGTTGTAGTAGCGAGTTCGTTGGGTCTTGTAAGATGTGTAATCTTGTATTTTTTGAAGTCATTTGTAATGGTTTGAATCTTGTCTTTTGAGTTGTCATTCTTTATTCTGATGATGTCCCGGTTGTTTATGAGATTCCCAAGCTCTTTCTATAAGGACCGGGTTGTTGTGTTCCTTGTGAGGTAACCTTTCGTTGCTTTATGGCTGATGAGTTCTTTTTGTAGCAATATGATAACTCTGCCGTGTTGTTGGATGAATAAGTCCGAAATCTGCCCATTGAACTGTACCGTTGTGTGGATTTGTGCCGTCTGTCATTTTAGCTGTGTCAGTAAATGGACCATTGCGTTCTCATGCCATGTTTAAACGGGCCCGATGGGCCGTGTTTTACTGTTATAAAATCTATTTAAAGGCCTTTCTTCTTCTTCTTTACTGCCCTGCTTTTCCCTTGAAACCCTAGTCTTCAAAATTCCGCCACCGCTGTTGTCACCGTCATCTGAGCGCCGCCGTCTGAGTCATCATTGTTTCTTAGTTCTTTTTTTGCTTCTGCTAGTATATGGGTAGGAAGAAATCAGCGAGCAAGTCTCAGGCAGCCTTTGTAGACGAGGAGGCATCACTTTCTGTGATTGAGAATCAAGAATTCATGGCCATGAGGGCTGCTCAGAAGATCTGGCCGGCTCCGACTATGACTGAAGATTAGTTGCGCGAGCTTATTAGCGATGGTCTGATCCAGAGCAAGGACATTGCTGATTGGAAAGCTCCGGGCGAGCATCGGGTCCCAACTCTAGGTCCTGGTGAGATTGTTCTTTTTGTCTCCTTTATCCATGCTGGACTCTGCCTTCCTGCTTCTGCTTTTCTTCATCGATTCCTTGGTTATTTTGGGATTAGCTTGAACCATCTTGCTCCCAATGTTGTCCTCCATCTTTCTGTTTTTGTTCATCTTTGTGAAACTTTTATTGGAATTCCTCCTTT